AGAAGCCAAAACGAACCATGACGATCAAGAAGGTGATGACCATGATCGTCATGAGGGGGAGAAGAAGGACAAGAAGAAAGCCTCAGAAGCAAAGAAGACTCCTGCCAGAGGTGTCAAAATTGGGGAACCTACAGCTGCAAAAGGCAAGGAAAAGGCTCCAGAGCCTAAAGGCAAAGGAAAGGCCAAAGTTGTAGAGTCTCCACAGAAGGGGTCGTCGTCAAGCACAGAGACCCCCAAGGAAATTGATGAAAAGGAGTATGCCGATGACCCTGAGCTCCTCAAAGTGTTAAAAATATATCTGGCAGAGGCTCAAGCAAAGAAGGGCAGATTTCCAATGCCCCACAGAGAAGGAGAAGGCACGTCATCGATGTTCCCACAAGTCCAAGAAACGTCCACGGGTACGTTTGATGCTCTGCAAGGAACTGTCAAACCAATCCTTGCAGAGGGATCGACTCAGAGGCCAATTTTGGAAGAAAAAGAGTTCAAGGTGCCAGAGGCTTCTACAGCCGGTAGGGTGTCTGAAATATTTGAATCCATGAGTAGGATTCCCATACCTCTAGTCAGAACAGAGCCCGTTACTACTTTAGAAGAAGTTCTGGTATGGAAGTACTCTGCGATAGACACAGAACCCCCATATGATCCGGAGCTTACTGGGATCCCCTCTGCCGCAGCAAAATTCAAGTTCTCAAAGTTAATAAGGCCTCGTGAGCAGGTCTTCTCAGAGTACATGATTACTTCATTGGTGACAATTTCACCAAGGACCTTGCTAAAGAAGATTGTGCTCTACACTTAGTATGTCGTGAGGAGAGAAGATGGCAATCTCTACACTTTCACAGATGCTGACCTTCACAACCTCTGCGTGTTTGATGTCATCTATATGCACAAGATTCTCAACATCTACATGGAGAGGAGGTCCAGCTATCAAATATCGCAGAAGGCTGATAGAAGTCATGCGCACTCAAGTGAGGTATTACAGCCAGAAGGACTTCGAGCTGGCAATAATGTTAGTGCAGAAGAATCTAAATCTCTCTCCTCCATATAGCAGGCTGGGTACTTAGGTATCCTCCAAACTCCATTATCCACAACCCCATTTTTGGGTTTGTGTATTTGGATAAGGATGATATCATAAGGTTCTATGACCCAACAGAGTCCCACAAATACTCAATAGAGACGTTAAAATGGATTTTCAAAAGAGCGGCGATAGAGGTGGACAGAGGACATCTCAGAACGGGTGAAGTGTCTCCCATCTTGAAGGCGATTAAAATGCAAATCAACTTCAGAGAATGGATCTTCAATGTCTACAGAACGATCAAAGCTGACTTGCTATACACGGTAGACGATTTTCCAGAATCTGCAGTCTGATAACCTTCTGCACCAGCTTTTGGCCTAAGCTTCACAATTTTGTATTTCAGTTTTGTAATTCATTTCTTTATGTAATTCTTTTCAGAGGATGATCTATTATCTCCTTTTGTAATTCTTCAAATTTAAGTCATGTCTTGCATTTAATTTTCAAGGTTTACTTTTTCATACTTAGGGAGAGATTGTTAGCTCTCATTTCATTCAAATGTAAAAGTATTGAAAAAGTAATTTCKGCAAGTGTCGACAGAAGATGCCTACCACAGAAGATCATAGAGGACCATAAACAGAAGTTCAACGTACAAGTCAAAAGACGACAAGAACCTCTGCAGTCTATCACGGAGGTTCTGGAAGAAGATCCTCAAGAATCAAGTGCTTTCAAGTTACATTCAGCAGAGCCTCTAAGATGACTCACAGATGGTCTGCAACAATATCTTTTGTGGTATAGTTCTTTGCTATTTTACTTAGGTTAGTTAGCTATTCGTGCTTCTCACGTTACTACTTTTGTAATCCGCGTTTTTTGGACGGCCTGGATCGTTTCACACGTCTAGGTCTTGTCAGACAAGCGGTTAGGAAATAGTATAAATAGTAGCTTCTTCCTTTGTAATCAGCGCCGCTTCCAAGATTGTAATCGTCTAAATTTCAATTCAATTGAAATACATTTGAAGCCTTTCTCGTGTGTTCTTATTATTCATTGTCTGCTTGTTCTTCATTGTTCTTGATTCATTGCTCTATTTGATTCTTGCTTTGTTTCCGCTRCACTGTGTTTGTCATATAGATCATTTAGAGTATTGGGTTAATATAAGAACTAAGTTAATCGATCCTATCACTGTTCATATACACATATTTTCAATCTATTCACATCTCTATATAACTCATTCGTATATATGTTCAGTAACTGAACATATATATGTAAATTGAGAAAATTAACTGAATGTGATATACGTAAGAAGTAGGGATAAGTTGTATCAAATGGTTGATGATGAAAAAGAAATTATGAGTAAAGAAATAACATATTCAAGTTTAGAAGAATATTTTAATGTACCAAAGTATCAACCCGATCAACCCGTACGGGTTGGGTTGGGTTGGGTTAAGATTTTTTCAAACCGTAAGCATTGGGTTGGGTTGTTCAAATGCCTTCAACCCTATCAACCCAACCCATGAGCACCCCTAGTTGAGAGGATCCTCTTGTTGATGCAATAAATAATGTTGTTGTCATACTTGGAGATAGACTTTCAAAAACATTAGACAAGTTGGTGTAAGTTGAGATGGATTTGCATGAATAGACTTCCATGGTTGGTTCTAAACTTGCCAAAATGAATCTTGCTCAATGGAAAAGTTTAAGCACCGAGAAAAATAACACGTGAACCTGAATCCTTGTCAAGCTTTTTGAACTATAAAGAAGAAACTCGAGAAGAATTTGTGAGGTATATTTTACAAGAATGATTGTGCTTGATGGTTTAACTCTTTTTTGAGAACTATGATGCTTAATGGCTTTTGGAACATGTATTTAAATATGCTTTGGTATTTTGGCATCATATGTATGATTGTTTAATGATGGTGACATGTAATTATTTTGAACATGTTTGATGGATTTTGAAACAATTTTAATATCAATTGAGTAACGTTATTTAGTTTATGATTATATTTGCGTTGTGTATTTTGATATTGTTTTACACATTAAAATATTCAATAATTATTTATTAAAGTATTTTTAATTAAAAAAATTAAAGTAATTAATAATTATTATATTAAAGTATTTTTAGTTTAAAAATTAATTTATCATAAACTATTTTAGTCATTTACCAGAATTTATTTAAATTTCAAAGATACATTCTGTGAACCATAGAAATAGATTCTAATTATTTTAACAGATTCTATTTCAATTATGCCAACTAAGGGAGTGTTTGAGATTGCTTATTTTATCTGCTTATTGACTTATTTCAGTTTGGTACCGGTGATAAGTTAATACCTAGTGTTTGGATAAGAAAAAAGAAAACTGCTTATACCGGTGTCAAACCGGTAATAAACAGTTTTTGATAAGTTAATCCGTTCTGACTTATGAAAAACTGCTTATTACCAGTTTACCATTTTAATCCTATTACCCTTTATACCTATCTTTTTTCCTCCAGATAACATCGATCTCAATCTTTTCCTTTCTCCAGATGACAACATCAATCTTCTCTCTGTATTTTTTGGTCATTTTACAAATATAAACAAAATATGTCAAACACTAAAAAATAACTTATCAGCTTATTGCAGTTTGGCACCGCTATAAGCTAATCCAAACATTTTTTACAAAACTCCAATTTGATACCACATAAGTTAATAAACAATTTTATAAAAAAACATAAGTTGTTTTAAATAAGCAATCCTAAACACCCCTAAATAATTGATAAAATCTAACAACATTTAATTCCAATTCCTTCAAAAATCAATTTTTTTTCTTTTTTACCGATTCCATTAAATCCAAAACACATTTATGCAAACCAAACTATCCCATTTCTGCCAAAAAAGATTATCCAATAATACATCCTCTCATTCTACCGACTACTGAGTTCAATTCCGATTGGGTAAGCAATTGTACTACCATAATCAGAATACATGCTCTTGCTATCGAGAAAGGTATCGTCTTTGTCAATCTCAATAACGTCACCATCATTATTCCCTGTTTCTCTCTCTAGACTGACGAACATGACTTCAATCAACAACAGCGACGGGGCTTTATCCAGGCTAGCGCTGTTAGCTCGGCAGCTTCGCCTCTACAAGCGGCCGCCGTCGCCGGGTTTTGATGGTGATGGTGATGATGATGGTGATAAGGGGGTTTCTCAAGTGGGTTTTCCGGAATCCGTGACCTCTGTCGCTGATCAGCCGCCGGAAAAATTTATCTCAAATAGAGCTGCTGTTTTGATTTGCCTTTTTGAAGGGAAGAACGATGATGGTGATGGTCTTCGTGTGATTCTTACTAAACGATCTTCTGGGCTCTCTACTCATTCAGGTACCGCCTGCTCTTTAATGTATTATATTTGCTTAATTGGGACTTTGCGAAGTTTGTTATTTTTAACATGCGTTTGTCTTTCGACTCTGTGGAATAGGGTAACAGGCTTTAACTTTTTGAGAATGCAGAATTGGGGACCTTTTTGACTTGATTTCCCTCTTAAGAGTGTGAGTGTGTGTCTGTGTGTTGTGCAGGATTTAGAAGCATGTTGAAAAAGTGGTACTCTTCTTGAGTATGTGTATGTTTGTGTTCATGTGTATATTCTCCAGGATTAAACATTTACTTCTCTTTAGTAATCAACAATTTGCATTTTTCTGTCTCTTAGAACAGCGCATAACATATGATTGTGCTCTTTTTAGTCGTTTCTGAGTTATCTTGGGTGGGTTTATGGGTTGTAAAAACTTGGAGGATATTTGATGTATCACAATGTTGGCTGTAGGTTTTAGTACATTTGTTTTGTTATCATGGTATTGACGAATTTTTGGCTTGATCAATGGGCATGACCCTTAAAGGAACTCATAGTAACTTTGCACGAATTGAACTCGAGATAAGCGACCTTATCTTTTGAGCTTATTGAAATAGCCCCGTTTTATCAGCCATAAACTGTTAGAACCAAGGTTAACCCCAACCAATCTTTACGTAAGTATATATGTTGAAACAGAATTCGTATAAAAGTTAGTAAGCGAATATAAGAATAAATGCGTATCTATATGTATTTATATGTCATAAATATACTATAATATACAAATGATAAAGGCCTGTGTAGCAATGTCCATATACAGAATTTTGCCACTACTTGTGCGATGGTCTCGAGCGTCTGTAATTAGATACAACTATCTATTCAAGTTTTTGCACGGGAACTTGAATCTGGCCGGTTTAATCTATATATTCATGGAACTGATATGGAAGGAAAAACCTGAGAGATCTTCTGGAGGGAGGAAGATTACCCACGAGAGAGGATTTTGGCCAGTATATATATGGCAGTTAATGGCAGTAAACGGTATTTCACAAATTAATTAAAAAGTAAATATATAACTCCGATTTATTATAAAACTGAAATATGTAAATAATTAAAAACAATTTTGGGTTCAAGAAGAGCCCCAAGGCCCATCTTTTGACCGTTAACATATATACAAAACCCACTCTCATGATCCAATCCATAAATTTCTTATTTGGCCCGTGACCCATTTTGTTAAGCATGTGACAATAGCATTATAAGCCCTCAATCTTTTCTATCTCCTTCCATTGTCGGATCAATGGGCAATCCAACGTAAGCTAGCATTGTGGAAAGCTACTTCAAGTAGTTCTTTTACCACTTTTTTCCAATTATGACCTTATATTTTTTCCAATTAATCTTTCAAAATGTATTTTGGTCATATTACATTGTCATCTATCGTATCAGCTAGTGTTAGCTTTTCAGCTAACAACTAGCTTATCAACTAGTTTGCCAAACATAATTTTTATATAAATGAGGCATCCGACATGATAGGGTTCATTGGAACTTACAGAGGGTTTATATGATGATGCCTCCTCATTAAGCACCATTAACTTTGTGGAATCATCTCGGGACAAAAACATTTTGTGAGCAATAATTTATTCAATTAGTGTTGGGAAGTGATAAAATCCAATTTTATGCAAATAGCATGTTTATAACATGAACATCAACATTCAATCATTCATGCATACATGATTGTCAATTCGTAAATCGAGTCGAGAATCATTAATGAATGTGAAAGACGGAAAGTAATCATTCTAGTGATGTGAAAACGAAAATAAATGTTCGTATGTCACGAGAGTCTGGCTTTATCCCATTGGTGGTCTATTACGACTTTCACAAAGTACTAACAAATTTTTTTTTTTTCATATGGCTACTAACAAATTGTAGTCCGACAAAGCCTATAGAATTATACATGAAATATCATAAATAAGATAAGAAATCATGGTAAAACTCATAAAATCGTCTAATATGAACCTATACAATGATTCAAGAATGTACCTACAAATGATTGTGAATAAGACATATTTCAAACTTCCTAATGAGATTCACATCATTTGCTTCATAAGTCAAATCAAATCAAAAGATTCCAATCATGAATGGGTCGATTTTGAGAACTATGCAGGCATCTAAAGATATTTGTTGTCTTTTTGAGAATTTTGGAGGGACTATGATCTCTTGTTCTCCATGAATCAAGATTTCAGAGCAATTATGCAGTTGAAACCTACAAAAGTGAATATATAAAGACCAAACCAGACCAAACCGAATGAACCAAGTGAATCCTACATGAAGTAGGTCTTAGGAGGGTATGATGTACATACCTTATCTCCACCTCGAGGAGTCTCTAGGCTGTTTTCGTGAGGAGACCCGGTTATAAAAAAGTTATGAGAAAAAGATTTTGTGAGAAGAAATTCTAAAGTTTGACAAAAGTAAATATATATCAACCCTTAATCTATTTTACTCATTTGAAAGTAAAACATAGGAGGGGAGAAAAAAAATAGAAGACACTACTTTATGTTTTGCAAATCCTCAACATATCATGATATATGTTGAACATAGATCTTCGATGGATTCAACGATAAGTTTAACAAATCTTGTATAGTGATTTTTGATGATTTCATGTGTTACATCTCTATTGATAATGTTAGTGTGCATAGTATATTTCAAATACTTATAGAAATCATGGACTTTCAAGTTTGAATCTTGGTCATACAACAGAAACGAACATTTCATATCGATAATGCAATTTTAGCGATGTATAGAACATTTATATATTGGTGTTGGAAATTAGCCTGATGTTCAAATAATAGTTTTCTCTAACTGAAGCTGATGACAAATGGCGTGTTTGTATCTGTGAGTGCAGGTGAAGTTTCATTGCCCGGAGGAAAAGCAGAGGAAGATGATGTAGATGATGCTGACACAGCAACAAGGGAAGCAAAAGAAGAGATAGGGCTCAACCCTTCACTTGTAAATGTAGTGGCAATTCTTGAACCATTCTTGTCTAAGGTAGATGCGATGTCTTTTTTCCCTGCAACATACATTGTTCCGATTCTTATTATATGTAACGTACTTTCAAAACCTTCATATTTAGATACATGTCTTACATATGAGAATGCATGAAAATGCAATGTAGCTTTGGTCCGATCCCTATTTTGTCTAACATACTTTGGTCCAAATGTTTGAGATATCACATTTGAGGTACGAAAATGAAGGTTTTGGGAGTACATTATACAAAATAGGAATAAGAGCAAAGTATGTTGTATTTTCATGCTATTTGCCTATTAAAAAACAGCAGAACTATACTATGATAGATTAATGGATACTTTCATCACCTTAAAACTCCAAGTTTGACTTTTGAAGTGCAAACCTGACATTTTATTATTTCAGAAATATGTATACTTTTACATGTTAAACATATATGTTTGTATTTACTTCGTCGTTTTTTCCGTAGCATGGACAACTATTCGTCTATTTCTAGTAAAGTTATTATATCTTTCTAGTACTGGAAATCACCACTTAACTTTAACTCTACTGTGCCCCACTTCCAGCTACGTTCTTGAAAGCTCTTGCTTCTTGTGACCCATCTGCATTTGTGCAAAAATTGTGAAGTACTACTTGTTCTAGTCCATTGTTTAGTCCATCTAATATGTGGGTGCGATAGATGGTACTTGAGGTAGATTTTGATAAACAGTGTCCCCACAAATGGCATGTAGGATCCATTGGATGGAGCTATATAGGCTTGAGTGTACGTTTCAATAAGCATGATTAATGTTTAGGTATATAAACCATACCAAGCCAAACAGAATCAAACTGAAACCAACCGGTATATATATCTTATATATCTCACCTGGAGGTGGGGTGATGAGGGGGATAAGGTATATGCATACATGATCTGTACCTCAAAGTAGATTGAGCATTTCTGTTACAGATAAGGTATCCGTTGAATACTATTTTCCTATATGTAGGGGGTAGTACAATCAGGGTCTATTTGTTGAATCTGAAATAGGTTCATGTCTATGTACACTACCTGAAATACTATTGTCATGTATATAGATATGTGCATGTCTATGAACACTACTTGAAATTGGAAGTTCCTGTAGATCTGAGAATTAGTAATTCAACTGTAATCTAATGTATAGAATGCGGAATAACATAAGATTTACAACAAAACTAGTTAAGAGCAGAAGTATGGATCAATGGTGTAGTCATATGCCATTCATGAATCACAAGATTGCAAGCAAAGAAGGTTTAGATTCTAGAGAGAGATTCTCTTAGCACAGAGAATTTCAGTTATAATGATAATGATCAATACAAGATTTGTTCAAGATATATATAATTACAGAAAATATCCTATCTATTTATATTACATGGTCGCAATTGCTTCAGAACAGACAAAGAAGGGTGGCCTTGCCGATAGTGAGCCTCCCTGGTACTAGAATCACAAAGATGTGCTGCTGCATAACGCAACCCAGACAAACGATAGAGACCTTGAGATTCAAAACTTGTGCCAATCAGCCGGTTCGTCCCCAATTCTTGAAAGACATAATGTGTTGGAAAAAAGGTTACTGAACAATTATGCATTTTTGTAATTTGGCTAACATATATTAGACTATCTGGAAAGGTGGGAACATAGAGAACATACGATAGGTTTAGTTTTGACAAGTTGCTAGTGGATCCTATGCCCATAATTTGGCATGAGGATCTATTAGCAAGTCGAACTGGAGTCTAGGGTATATCAGTATTGAGATTGGATATAAGGTCTTTGTTCCTAGTCATATGATCTATGGCTCCCGAATCATAATCCATGATGGTGAGCATGCTGAAAAACAGGTAGAAGGTATACCTGGCTGTGCTATACTAGCACGAGGAGTACATGAAACCTGGCTAGAAGGACCATGCTGGAATCGAGAGACATCTTCATCATGGAAAGTGCTAGTGGGGGTGGTATCTCATGCAGATGCTATCTGGGCTCGAAAAGGACAAAGTGGCGGTTGAGATCCGGGACCAGAAGTAGGACGATTCAGGCAATTATACTTGGTGTGCCCAAACTCCTTACAGTAAAAGCATTGGATCTTCTTCTTATACCCTTCCTTTCCAATATTTCTGGTACTTGAAGAGGCAAAAACGGATACATCAGTCCCGGATGGCTGCGATGGAGTATGACCTGAGTATATTTCTCGGCCAAGATGATACGTTGATGCCAATGACTGAGATGCTAAGTGACTCGGTAGTAGAGGACGAGCACTGGAATATTTGGCAGACGATCTCGAAATGAACGTCATCACATCCATTTTTGCTACCCCTCCTCCTGAACTTTAACGTCAGGAGTGACAAGGAAAAGAATTCGGAGCTCTTTTGATAGCTTTGATAGTCTAGCATAGTACTTGGTAAGATCGGAGTCAAAGATTCTTTGGTTGAGAAGGAAGACTCCAAAGATTCTTGGTAAGAGCCGAACACGGAATAAGTGTGAGACAAAGATTCTTTGGTTGAGAAGGAAGACTCCAAGTGGATCCACATCTTCTTTGTGGTAGGATAATTCTGAGCAATACTTAGGACTTGTGGTTCCATTGCATTCCATAGAGCCATTCGGATACCACTATCGTTCAGTTTCCATTCCCGGGTTTTAGGGTTCAGAGGGTCATAGATTAAATAATCATCTTTGTCCAAACTTTCGAGACTGGTTTGGACAAACATACTCCATTGAGCCCAGTTTGTAGAGTTAAGTTTAATCGGAACCTTTAACACGGCAGAAAAATTGATTATACCCGGGATGGAGAAGTCACTAGAGGTTGTTGCACCCTGAGTTTTGTCTGTAGGTGCCATTAGTGAGCTTGTTATATATAAAAAAGAAAGGCTGGAATTAGTTCCCTCACAATGCTGGTTTTCTTAGATGTATAAAAGGCTGGAACCTCTTCTCATTGGCTTGTTCACAAGTCAAGTTCTGGAAAGAAACGAGAAAGGGAAAAAGAAAGGAACCAAACGGGGAGTCTTCAGTCTTTTGGTTTTATCCACGATTGTGGATTTGGAAAATGGTGACAACAGCCGAGAAATGAATTCTGGAAATTCAGGACGGCAGTGCCGGCGACGGTGGCAGAGTGCGGCGACAGGTTTGGAGATGGTGGATCTTGACGTGGATAGCATTGACAGCTGCAGATGTGGACAAGAAGGCCAACGGGGGCAGCTGTTTCAGGCAACGACTACAACTAGGGTTTAGGCGAGTTCCAGCGACGACAACGGCTAGGGTTTAGGTGAGTTCCGGCGACGGTGACGACTAGGGTTCCGGCGACATGTAGCATTCCATCAGCTTTGATACCATGTTATTACTCAAATTTGGTAATTCTTGTCACATTTCTTTCTAAAGGAGATTACAATATATATAAGATCAGTAAATCTAAATGGGGAAATACTAACACTACTATATAGAAAGGTAAACCAAACTGTGCTATATGTAACAACATACAAAGGACATGGATTTCAAACCCATAAGCAACGAAAACCCTTCTTATGTGAATTGGAGTCAATTTGATGCCTAATTTCTTTGCTATGTCTAGATTGATGAAGTTTGTGCTTCCACTATCAGTTAACATGGAAACTTGTTTTTTACCATCCCAATCATCTGTAGCATTTGCATTCCAAAGGAACCCAATATTGCATGTATGGACAGAGCCATATTAGGCTGTTGGTTGAAAGTTCCTGCTTCCCTCTCATCAATAAACTCATGCCCCTTCATCTATTTCTTCTTGAATATCAGGACATATCAACTTATACAATTTACTGTTTTTGCATTTATGGCCTGGAACTCCTTGGTTAGTTGCCTTATAGGTTCATTTTGTTTTGGTTGGTTTGGTTAGGATTCGAGGAGTTGGTAGGTTTGGAGTAAGATTTTTGAACTAGTTGGAGTATGGGTGGTTTTCAAAAGTTGGAAGTGGAAGAAGAGGACTGATTTGCAGAGGCTGAAGTTAGGAATTTTGGGGCAGGTAAGGATGTTGGTACCACGGAATTAGTAACGATGGTGTTTTGATTGATTTGGCTAGAGCTTGAAGCATTTAGGGGCCTTCATAGGAGATTCGGGAGATTTGGGAGGCTCCAGACCCCAAAGGGCATAATAAACACCCTCTAGAATCCTTGCCAACTTCATCGTTTGATCAAGAGTTTTCAGGTTCATACCTTGAATGGTGTGCATAATCTCATTAGTGAGACCGCCAAATGTAAAAATCGAGCAAGATGCCAGGAGGAACAATTACTTGGTTTCATAGAGCATCGAACTGAGAGTTGTAGTCACTTACAGTAGTCAGTTTGAGATTTAGTTATACCTTGAGGGTTAAGAATTCATTTTAGTAAGCTGGGGAATATAAGTACAAGTGGCTAATTCTTAGATAGTACAAGTATTCAATGCGAGGTTTCATCGAGTCTCGACACTCCTAGTATAAATAGGGGGTAGGGGTTTGAGGAGAGGCATTCTATTTTGTTATTTCATTGGCGTGAGCCTTGGGAGAGCCCCAACCTCTCGAAAGTTGGTTTCCTTTCTTGTAGTCATACATTTTGTTAGTAGTAAATCATATGAAACCCTACGGTTCTGTCAATTTGGGCATTTGAGTGCATCAATTGGTATCATAGAAGTGAGATTGTGGATGGCGGCTAGAAGCATGGCTTATCCAACGGATCTGAAATCGAACATGAGATCCATGGAGGTTATGAACACGATGATGAAGCAGATCAGGCTGATTAAGGTTGCAAAGAAGAAGGGGGGAGGGTGAATCGAGTCAATCCATGGCATTTGAAAGCAACAAATAGGGAATTCCATCTTTCAGTGTCACTAATCCCGATGGTTGTATTTTACAAGATGAGAAGTGCCTTGAAATGCTTGAACAACAAAGAGCAACTTGAAGTCTCAGCATGTTCGTTTGAAGGAGTTGCCTTGCGATGGTTTTCATGGGAGAATCAGAGGAGAGCTTTTAGACAATGGGAGGATCTGAAGTGGATGATTCTTTTGTCAATTTCGCTCAATAACCGGGTGTTCATCTGTTAAACCATTTCTAACCCTAAAACAGGGTGTGGCCATGGAGAGGGACAATACGGAGCCGTTGCTGCTCTCTCCATCATCACGTGCGCCATGGTCGATGGTGCTTCCACCAACACAGTGTGATCCTCCTTGGAATCGTACAAAGGCCCAAATAGAAGAATCGGTCGTGATTCAGATAGAAAATAAGAATTCTGGTAAGCCTACAATCTGTTGACTCTCTATTTTGGCCCAGACCCAAACAAGTTGGCCAAACCCAGAAAAGACTTGAATGGATCTGAAAGATCCACGTCTAATTCTATTATGTTGACGACCAGAAATAGAATTTGGTTGAGCAATGATCTTAGGGAACTGCCACCGCCACCACTGCCGCTGCCTCAGCCGGTGTTCATGCCACCACCACCACCGACATTCACATTACTGTCACCGCAGTTAACCCTATATCCTGGGGTTGAGGGTCTGTGAAATTGCTATCGCAGGAATTCATTAAGATATTAGATGGGGAATTAAACCTGTTGGATGTTGGTTGAGCAACAATTGTGGAACCAACGATAGAGATTGATGTTCTGGTTCAGTTTTAGAGGTCTAAAACATATCAGCTTCTTCCTGATGAAATTCAGTGTCGAATCATTTTAGATCTGGGTAGTAATATTTAAGATAAACAAAATTGCTTTTGGACAAAGCTATGCATGAGGAGGCTAAGTTACAGCTAATGCATCTGAAGTGCAAGTGGTTACTGAAAAGTGTGCAATCACTTGCCTCTGGAATTCGACAGGCTAAAGGGTGGTAGCTAAACTTTTCACCACCTAACTCACTAAATGTTCGACTTATTCATCACCAGCCCTTCTCGGACAACACAAAGGACATGCAAGAGCGCCAAGTTAATCCTAAGAAAGTGACTTCAAGGAGGCAGGCAATAGAAGATATCAATAGCAACTCTGTCAGACTGTACACAAAGATATGCAACTTGGGGTTTAGACAGTCTGAAGAGTTGCAAAAATCGTCATGATATTGTTCGTAATTACCTTGTCCTCATGATTCAAAGTTAATGGTCACTGCTGGTGTAATTTAGAGCACGTCCCTTTCTAATATATTAAATAAAATGAATATAAGCAAGAACTTCAAAGATGTGGATGGCTCAACTGCTTTTGCGTGTCTTTGATGTTGGGTTAACACAGAGGCATGTTGGTTTTACAAGTTTGGCACAGGAAACTCAAACGACCAGTTCTCTTTTGGGGAATTTGGTTGATGTGATGGAGGAGATTCAAGTAGCTAGAATAGAGCTAAAGAACCTAATTCATGCGAGATTTCACACATCCTTGGACGAGGGCTTGTATTTGGATCTGTACTTTGAGCCAGATAGCCTCTAAACACTTCATGTTTAAGAAAGAGTGTCTATCCATCAAAGATTGTTCCATGCAGCAGTACTTTTAGGCTATGCTGTTACTACGATCAAAATACAAAATATCGGCCAGGACCGATATTCGACATTTCGGTTATATCGATGATAGATCAGAGATATATCGGTCCAAAATAGCGGTTAATATAATATTTCTTAGAATTATATATATATATATATTATATATGTATATATATATACATATTATATATGTATGCATCCATAAACATATCATATGCATTAATTAGAGTTTAGAAATATAGTTTCAAAATTAAAACATCACATAAACAAGTCTCACAAAACAAAATAGGAAAAGTGTTAAAAAACGAGCTAATCGCAAACAATAAGCGTGAACTGTGAAAGAACCGAGAAGAGAAGAAGCGTGAACTGTGAAGAACCGAGAATAGAAGAAGCGTGAGACTTAATATATGTGTTGACTAGTTGACCAAATAAAGAGGCCCAAAAAACTAAGCCCGACATGTAATAGAAAAGCCCAAACATTTGTCTTAGAGAAAATCGGTATATTGGACCCATTTTTCCATCAAAATTCGGTGAAATATAAATATCGGCTATATTATCGGAACCGATATTTCACCACCGATATTTTTCCAGAGTCCGATATCCTATATATCGGCGATATATAACGATTTTAACAGCATAGCTTTTAGGAAGCATGGACCTAATCTGACTGACAAAATTGAGTTTTGAGATAAGTATCAAATGTATCTGACACCTAGATTTTATCAAACTAACCAGAGGGCTTTTGGCCTAGCTATATCTAGGCCTTTGGCCTCCCGCGAGGTCAAGGGTTCAAACCTCACTAAAAGCGAGGAGGGTGTGTGAGTTTATTCGCCATATATAAATATTATATACTTAAAAAAGATTTATCAAAAGTATAAGCAAATTACTAGTGAGTTATCATCCATAAAAGTGGCAAATAATTTGAAACCTAAATTAAACTCAATGAGACAAGGTCCAAGCATCATAACATATTCAAGTAAGAAGACTGGCTTTTTATTTTTAACTAATGTCCCTAAAAAGACGACAAATTGTCAAGTTGCCTTCTTTCATGAATGCCTATTAGGCTGTCTAATATGCAGTTGTCATGCGTTTGCAGGGTGCTTATATGCCCAACTTCACTTGAACTTCCTCACATGTAACATACATATCTAATCTCTTATACTGTGATAAAGTTTAGGGTTTGGAAAGGATGTCTAATACACTAGTATAAAAAGGAAACTTTGTATATAGTATAGTACATCAAGTGGGACCTTGGATATGAATCTCATGAACATACCTAATATATTGTGGAAACCCTGATGCAACCAATATATCACGATGCTCATTACTAAACTTGTTGAAGAGTGAAATACAACCATTTATTAGAGGTTGAAACTAGGATGCTATTGGGAAAAAGGCTTTCATAAAAAATTCTCGTAGTATCGAGAATGAAGTTTTCATTCAGATCATGAATTATTTAACTGCATCCAATTTCTAAAAAATTCCAACTGTTCCCATTTTTGGGATGGAGTATTTGGGGAATCTCCATGAATAGGATCAAACCTTATTCCTTGGTATTTATATCTTGTGGAACACTATGCGGGTTTGGCTCACATTTATTAGGTTTATCTCATGTGTGAATCTTTGACTGGATCATGTTGTACTTTGCAATCTTTGCAGCACCTTCTCAGAGTAATTCCAGTTATTGGCATACTTTCTGATCAAAATGCATTCACTCCAACTCCCAACATTGCCGAAGTAGATGATGTCTTTGATGCTCCTTTAGACATGTTTCTCAAGGTATTCTCCTAGTTTTAACCTCTTACTTTAGTTGTCAACAATTTTTTGGCCTATTATTTTCTAGATTAAAAAAATGGTTCCAGTTTTGTTGCAAATGAACTACACTTGTTTGTATATAATATATTGTATGAGGTCTTATATGGTTACCAAAATTTCTTTAACATTTTCAACTTTTCATGCATTTTGAAGTCAAAAAGACCTCAAAAGTCTGTTTGTACCTCCACTAGGGGAGGTGAATGCAGGGCGTATTTCTTTTTCTGGACATCTAAGCATCAAAACAAATTTACTGGTTCAGGATGAAAATCGAAGATCTGAAGAAAGAGAATGGATGGGAGATAGGTATCTGGTTCATTACTTCGACTATGAAACGGGTGGTAAGAAGTATATGATTTGGGGTCTTACTGCTGGGATTTTGATTCGAGCTGCATCAATTGTGTACCAAAGACCACCAGCTTTCCTTGAACAGAGTCCCAAGATTCCTAGAGTCCTAAACAAGGGCACTATATTGCCTTAAAACTTTTACTGCAACCCTCACATGGTCTTTTTTTCTTACTTTACCCAAATAAAACACCATCCACCTGGATTCGTTGACCTTTTATTATCATTCTGTCTATATGATTTCAAGACCATGCCCCAATGGGAATCCATATAAAATTTGGTGGATCATCTTGCAGAATTTCTCAGGTTGGTCACTTTTTACATGGGTTCCACCTTTCTGTTACCATCTTTATATAAGCCTATATTTTCACAGATTTAAATATGGACTTCCCAAGAAGTTATTAACCTTCTTGACCGATGCATTTCAGTTTTTTTCTCTCTGTATTTTCACTTGATGTCAGATGTATCACGCTACTATTACTCGACATCACTTTTCTCCAGAGTGCTTTTTACTTGTGTGACCTATTTGCTGTACATTAGTCTTAAATGTTCTTGTTATTGTAGTTGCATGTAGTATGTACTGTGCTTCTTTTGTTTTATATTTCATGTCCCCTTGTTTGTGTAACCTGTTTCCCTGATGCCCTGATGCCTGTATGTTTGTTTGCACACATTCTCACCTGTACCTTGCTTGCTTGTTATATTTATTTGTTTTGCAAGCCAGTGGTTTTCATGGAAACAACCTCTCTACCCCCTTTTTCTTGAAGCATATATAATATTTGTATAAGGCAAATATCCACGCACACTTTTCACTTTTTGGTGAGGTTTAAACCTTTGACCTCTTGGGAGGTTGTGCACTATCAGTAACCCCAGGTGCCGCTAGGCCAATGACCCTATGGTCTTTCTACCCCTTCGGGTAGAGGAAAGGTTTGCCTACATTTTACCCTCCCAGACCCTACCTCTACATGAGTTCTATTTCGTTTTTTGATCTTTGGGACATCGTGTTATGAGCAGCAACTGCTACTCATCCTTGATAGTTCTTCACAAACAAGCAGTAATTAGAGGACTTGGAGGCTGACCGTGGCTAGTAGACTTCCAAAGGTGGCAAAATAAACGAACGGGTTGTCGAACATGTGTAGTTACATTCTTGCAACATTATCAGCTACATCTTTATTCAAATTGAGGTCTGAATGCCTAATACTTGATAGACTATGCTTTAGTTCACAAGCAACAAACTTCTTGCAACTTGTTGCCAAATTAATAACTCGACTTTTTAATTTGTTAATTTGGACGACTGGGCTTGGAGACAGATGATGTGATTGATATGCTTGTGAGAATCTAGGGCCGTTTACCTAACGCTTACCAACAAGAGATATCACCCTCACTATCTTACAATGCAACATTATTTGTCATCAAAATGGATTGTTGGTAAGCGTCTTAAACCCGGTAAGAGTCGTTTCCCTCACTGGGCAAGACTATGCTCCTTGCCATGCCCAATCTGTAAGGTAAGTGATATCAGGAAACAACTGTTCTACTTTGTGGGATAGATGCCAGGTTTGCATACATCATACCCTTCTCAATCACCTCCCCAGATGGGATATGCTGCGTTAGTTTGGTTTGATTTGGTTACGCATGCTTCTGAAATTGCAAATTTGGTCTTGTAGGAACCGTATCAATGCCTTGGACAGCTTATGTAGCCGAATTTTCTGCACACATAGTCAACCCTTTTTTAATATGCTGGGATCTTTAGAATCGATTTTGAGCCATTCGAAGCTCACAAATGTGATTCAATTGCGACCTTGGATATTTTTGCAACAGATTTTTGTTTCAAATATAATACACATATGACGAAGGATCGTGTGAGAAGAGGAGTTAAGGTGAGAAGCGTGAGAAGGGATCTGGACCCTTGATCACCTTTAATCTCAAACCCACACATGAATCATGCTTGTTACGGGAATTGATCGGGTGCATCCCGATGCATCTCATCTTGGTGCATCCAAGGGTGGAGATCTCTTCTTACATTAACTTTCCTTCTCATCAGAACCCAACTCGTACAAATATTCCCTTTGGGTTTCATTTGGTTCTCATATATGGTATTTGCATTTTTGATGTTGGATCTTGTTTGAACATGGGGAGCGATGGATAGGCATGGGAATGGCCCCCGACCCGTCGGGGAACCCGGTCCACCCGCCCCGGTCGGGGACGGGGATTCCTCGTTAACTCGGGGATGGGGATGGGGACGGGGATCCCCATTTGTCTCAAACCGGGGATGGGGACGGGGATGGGTATGATACTCCCCGCCCCACCTCTTACCCGTTATATATATTAATTAATAAATTATACACACACATGTATATATGTATACTATTTATTTCAACTAAAGCGGTAATTTATAATTTTCTATTTCTTAACTAGGTTTAGAATATGAAATTGTTACTTTTTGGATGTTAATATATAATATTTTGGATGTCAAGTCAAAATACAATTACTCGATAAGTTTTGTATATTATTCGATATGATTTTATATTACTCATTATCTTTTGGTACATGTATTTTAAGTTTTTTTTGGATTAAATTGATTTTTTTTTTTTGGTTTTAGGTTATTAATTCTTATATGATATTTGTGGTTTTTTTGTATTAAATTAAATTCATTTTGGTTTTAGGTTTATTGAAAATGTTTGAGATTTAAACATGTATGGTCTCTCACATATTTAATTCAAAATAACTTATATAAACGGGGAATAAATCCTTGTTTCTCCGTTGGGTATGGGGATGTGGATGTGATTATATTCCCCGACGAGGATGGGGACGGGGATAGGGATAGAGATAAGTAACCGGGGATGGGACGGGGATTGAGGTCCCCGTCCCATCCCCGCCCCATTCCCATGCCTAGCGATGGATAGTGAAAATATGCATCCAAGATGAGATAATCTTGAAGTGTATCTCAACGAATAAGATTAGGGGTGGAGTTGTTACAGTATCAAGTTTTTTCCTCTAATGTTGTATATCAATCGATTATAATTTGTACGTAAAATTTTATACCGTGTACCAACGAATTATACTTGGTTTTTCGGTTGGTATTGGTTTCGCACTAACTTCAATTTACACATGAAAACTTGCCATTATGTTCCAATTTTGAGTGACATTATGTTTTTAAGTTAACACATGTGATGTTTGAGTTTTTAACTGTAAGTAATAAACTTGCAAACATTGAAATGTGCAAATAAAATAGTTAAAGGTTGCAAAGTTTGATATTTAATAAATAAAAATGCAAAAACTAATAAATAACCAAATAAGTTGGTACCATGTTACATTGTAACACGTGACTTCCAATACCGTATATCAACCAAGTTTGCATACTTGGTATGATACTACCAACCGATTGTAATTGGTACCAATTTAATCGGTATGGATGGTACATATGTTGGTTGGTTTAGTTTGGTACAAATTTACCACCCAAAAAATAAGACTTTGGATCGAGCCCTCATTTTGAGTTCTGTTTTACATTGTGAAAACATAGTTGGTTTCAAAATGTGAAAAAAAAAACACATTAAAAATAATCACATTGTGAAACAATGCTGTATTTTTGCATCCATTGTTTCACAATGTGAAATAAAAAAAATATTAAAAATAATTACATTATGAAACAACACATACTTGATTCTCAAGAGTTGGGTACAAACGAAAACATGGTCAAAATAAGAAATCTAATACTTCTGATGAAATTAGACTAAAAAGGGTACTATGGTAATTTGTGTGTAAATGATTATCTAATTAGTTATTTGAATTACCTAAAATTTCATAACATCTTTAATTAGATTAATTTATTTTTAGATTATTTCAAAATAAATAGAGATCACGAATCCACCTCTCTCATCAACTATAAGCTCTTGAGAAAATTTCAATTCTAATCTATCTGTCTTTATTTTATCATCATATTCATTTGACGATGACACACTTATCCTTCAACTCTTCCTTATGCTTAGTCAAATGAGTGATGGTGCACGATTATTGTCTCGTTAAAACCTTATGTCAAAATAAAAAACACAATGTGAAA